GAAACCTCCTGCGTCTGGTCAGTATTTGTGTTATATGCCAATCACAACTTACTGGAGTTTGGCCGACTTCAGGCATGTAGGTGTAAGTTGACCTACCTACCATACTTTAGGCCCAGTGATCTTGCTAGTGTGTCATAGAATAGATCTCTGCAGTAGACTACCTTTTATGTAAATAACCAGAGGGTCAACCATCCTCATTACAAGGGTGCGGCCAGGGCCCATCCCTGGCTGCACCCTTGGCCAGTTGGTTGGCACATTTGTTGCCTGGGATCTCAATGTGGCCTTGAACCCAACTCAGGGCAATGTATCGTTCATGCCTCACACTCAGTACCCTATCTCTAATCTCCTGTACCAGCTTGTCCCTATGATATCCATCATTCAGCGCCTGAAGAGACAACTGGCTTAGAGTAAACAGTGACCGGCTCTGGACCCGGATGTTGTAGGATCCACCAGGACACCCCTCCAGGGCCACCAGTTCTGCCTGGTACACAGACACCTCCTCGTTCAGTCTGACTGACTGTACACTTGAACTCTGTCAGAAAAGATGCAGTACACAGCACCTACTAAGCTACCATCTTTAGAGCCATTGGTGTATATTTCAACACCACTATTTGTCAGTTCATTGACATCCCAGTCTAGTCCAATCCTATAGAACTCTTAGTACATCTGACTGACATCTAAGTTTGATGACTGGGTACATCTGATTACAATGCTTAGCCTCTAGACTTTCCACTGTTGCCCTGTAGAAGGCAATCTATCTACCATATGAATTTGGCATATGTTGTAAGACATTCTAAATTTTTTTTATGTTGATTTTTTTTTTTTATCAGTTCCCTTATGTCCTATGCTGATAAAAGTATATGCAAGATTTGCTATCTTTTTTTTTGCAATTAGAGATTTAAAAAAATTTTTGCATTAATATTTTTATTTTACATTTAAATGTAAAATGCTCAGACATTCCGTTGTTAAAATGTTAAATTTTTGAAAAGGCGTTCAAATTTAGTTACACCCGAAGATGGCCTTTAGTACATGGTGCATTCAAGTTATAACACCTTCAATTTTTTTTCTCACAAACTAATTACACGAAAACTGTAAAACTTTTGTCACTTCTTGACATAATCTCCCTGCAGCCATGCACATTTTTCACAACGTCGACACCATGATTCCATGACCGCTGCAAATGCTTCTTTAGGAGTATGGTTGTGATGCATAGGAGTATCCAGTGATTCAATAGTGGCACAGCTAGTGAATGTGCGAGCATGGAAACAGCCAAAAGTCGTTAGGAGCCAGGTCAGGTGAATAGGGAGCATGAGAAATCACTTCAAAGTTGTTGTCATGAAGAAACTGTAACATCATGTTTGCCCGATGTGCTGGTCTTTTCAGGTCTTCATGCAGGATTGTGTGCACAGATCCTGTGAAAATGCCAACTTTGGAGATAATGTGTTCCACACTCATTTGGCGATCCTCCAAAACAACTTTCTCCATTTGCTTGATCATGTTGTCAGACCGGCTGCTGGTGCAAGGCCGAGATTGTCTTGGTTTCTTGTCACACAATGTTCGGCCTTCTTTGAACTGTTGCACACACGAACGCACATTAGACACATTGATGACACCATCAGTGTCATCAATGTGTCTAATAAGTCTAATCAATGTATCAATGTGTCTAATAAGTTGGTGTCACACCACTCAAATGGAAAAAAAGAATGATTACACGCTGTTCTTGTAATGAAAATATTGCCATTTTTAGTATCAAAAACAGTCCTCACTCTCGTCACTGCTGCTAGAGTTGTGTGTGCCTTATAGTGCTGCCATCTCTGTCACACATTTCCAACAAGTGCACGCATATTTTAAAACAATCTGCATGTTTCTATCTGTTTCCAGTTCTGAGAAAAAAAATCGGAGGTGTTATAACTTGAATGCACCTCGTATTAGGCTGAAAAATGTTTGTGTTTTGTTTAATGAACATTTCTTAGCAACAGAAGATGTATTGATAGTTCATTAAGTATTTAGAAAGTTGAGTTTTATATTTGGTTAATAACTGATTACATTTCCTGATGCTGATGCTGTTTATGAAGATTTAAGATTTTTATTTATAACACACATTATTTTTGTCATTATTCATTGCATTTATTTACTAGAGTTACTAGTGTGTTAATTTATTTTGAATGGTATATAAATTCAATTAAATATTGTTAAAATTGTTAAATCTTAGATATTAAATTAAGCGTTTCAGAGTAGAAAAATTTAGTGAAGTGTTTATTTAATTAATTATTATAAAACTGCTTTATGGAGATAATGAAAATTTGAATGTTTCAAACTTTATAGGATTAATTAAATTTAGTGGATTACAATGTTAGTTTTAAGTAAATAACTTAAACTGAATTAAACTTTTTTCCTAATTAGTATAAGTATTATTTATGAGAAAGATTACATTAAAGAAGTTATTTTATATGTTTATATTATAAATAAATTTGATACTTTTAAAAATTAACTGTCATGTAATATATATGTTATAGATTATATTATACATATATCAGTTAGATCTTACTTCAAACCAAATGACTGAAGAAAAAAAATGTTTCTTTAGTGCTAACGTTTTCGATGCCCCTCCTGGACTCTTCTTCAAGCATCTACTTAAATCTGTTGCAATTTGGTCTTTAAACTTTTGAACTTTTTTAGAAGGCATTCGATTTCATATTCCAAATACGCACGCATTCCAATTTATTTAAGCATCGTATGCTACTATGAAATTCGAAACAAGAACTGTTTTTTAATTTAAAACATTATAAATGTAAATAAAATTAAATATTATCGTCCATTAGGACTTGCCATGCCGTAGAAAGCAACATTTCCTCTTTAAAATTAATGCATGTGGATTTGCATCCCGCCTTAAATATTTCCATTGCCTCCAATAGTTTGAGGTGATCGTGATACGGGGTGGTGAGCTTAAGTCTCTTTCATGACCAATGCTCTGAAAGATGCTATTTTATAAGAAAAGGGATCAGATGATCCTATTGGAATATACGTTGTGACCGCCATTGGTTTTCTACACACAGCTGTTTTTATGATCGATCCCTCAATTACAATGTGTATATCCAAAAAGTGGACTCTGTTTGGACTGTGTTGTTCAATCTCAACAAATAGTCCGTACAGATTGTTGTTCATTGCGTGTATAAAGCTTGTAAGATCTGGCTTCATCCTCCAAAAGATGATTATATCACCGACGTATCTCCTATAAAGGAAAATATTGGGTAGGAAATTAGGTAGGGTTCTGCTTTCCAACATTCTGACCACCATTTCGTATAGGTGTCTGGATAACGGATTGCCCATAGGGACACCCCTACTGTAAGTGTATACCATCCGTTTAAACTGGAATGCCAAATTATAACACATCAAGTGCACCAATTCTAATATATCCTTGTGCATTGTTATAGCTCCTATTTTTTCAAATGACTCTATTGATGGGTATAATGATCTAAAATCGTTATACCCATCAATAGAGCTTCCACTATGTTTTTGTGCGCTAAGGGAATTATCATTTGAAAAAATAGGAGATATAACAATTTTAATTTTGATTGAAACGTGTATCATCCTCACCACCTCGCATCACGATCATCTCAAACTATTGGAGGCAATGGAAATATTTAAGGCGGGATGCAAATCCACATGCATTAATTTTAAAGAGGAAATGTCGCTTTCTACGGCATGGCAAGTCCTAATGGACGATAATATTTAATTTTATTTACATTTATAATGTTTTAAATTAAAAAACAGTTCTTGTTTCGAATTTCATAGTAGCATATGATGTTTGAATAAATTGGAATGCGTGTGTATTTGGAATACGAAATCGAATGCCTTCTAAAGAAGTTCAAAAGTTTAAAGACCAAATTGCAATGGATTTAAGTAAATGCCTGAAGAAGAGCCCAGGAGGGGCGTCGAAAACGTTAGCACTAAAGAAACATTTTTTTTCCTTCAATCATTTGGTTTGAAGTAAGAAGAATTAAATTTCAACCCAGTGTGTTAGGAAGTTAAATATATCAGTTAGTTTGTTGATTATGTCACAAGAAAAGTTTGATATTTTTTGTTTTATTAAAATCATAGTTGTTGTTATTGTATATATATATATATATACAAAATACATTCATCAAAGAAAATTTATTTTGTATATACAGTAGAGCCTCGAACCTCAATTGGGGACTGGGGTTGGTCGGATAATTGAAAAGTCGGATAACCGGAAAGTATGAAAACATCCATTATTAGTGTAGTATATTATTATATCCCATGTAATTAGTATATTAGTATATTGCTATTAACCTACTTTGCGTTGAATTTTCATTGATGTTAAGCCTAACAAAAATTTTTTAAAATAATAATCGTTGCTACTGTATTGTTAAAAATTAGAAAATTAAGCCGTGTTTAAATACTGGCTCCCTTTCATGGTCAAATGAGTGTTGCCAGCTAAAACACGTAAAAATACTATTAAAGTAGCCAACCACATAGCCAAATATTGTAGCGCCACATCGCTAGCGGACATTTGAAATTTGCCAACTAGGACGGTCGGTTAACCGAGGTGTTGGTTAATCGGGGGTCGGATAATCGAGGCTCTACTGTATATATATACAAAATATATTTATTTTGTATTTTGTATTTTATTTTGTTATATGCATATATTTATTTTGTATTTTGTATTATTTTGATTGCTCTTATCTCGAAAGTAAAAAAATTAAGTAGTATACTGTAGGTGCAAATAAAAAACAGTACTTGATGAAATAGACAAAATAAGGGGTTTTTCCCTTATCTATAAACAATACATTGTTATCCTATGAAATCTCCCAACTCCAAATAAAAATCCTCCAATGGCACTCAATCTTCATTAACTCAGTCATTCAAGCTTAAAATGTATTGTATACTTGTGTATTTTAACTTTCAGGATCTGACAATGAGTTGCTGAATATTTTGAATCTTCAGCATTGTAATCCTGTTATGCCATCTTGTTTTAGGACGAAACACTTGTACATTGTAGTCTTACTGAATTAGAAGATGCAACATTCACATTTCCTGTCATGTTCCAGGACATAGAATACAAGGCAAATGTCTTTATCATTGTAAATTTTTAGATTACATACAATTAAAATGAATATAGTAATAACATAGATTCTGCAAAGCAGGTATACGTTCGAACAAGGCCATACTTCAGGGAGTTCCTAGAGCGCGTATCAAAAGTTTTTGAAGTGATACTCTTTACTGCTTCCAAGAAAGTTTATGCTGATAAATTGTTAAATTTACTTGATCCCGAAAGGAAATTAATCAAGTGAGTCCATCCTCTCAGTTTTATTAGCAATGATGTGTTTTATTAATTCTTGAAAAATTTTTTTATTTAGGTATCGTTTGTTTCGAGAGCACTGCGTATGCGTAAGTGGTAATTATATCAAAGATCTGACTATTTTAGGTCGAGATTTGGCAAAGACCATCATCATCGATAATTCTCCTCAAGCATTTGGTTATCAGGTTTGCTTTTTAGTTAAACACCTATTATTTATATATATAAAAATATTCTGAGGATTTTTTAAATTTTAAAATAGTTGGAAAATGGTATTCCAATTGAAAGTTGGTTTATGGACAAAGGTGATATGGAATTATTGAAATTATTACCGTTTTTAGATAGTCTTGTTGCAATGGTAAGTAAAATAAGGTTTGTTTGATTTATCATTTAAAAAATCAGTATTTCAAAAATTATTATATAAAAATATTAATTCTTCAGTTTTAACACAGCAGCCACTGCCGTAAATCATCAGGCTATAATTTGGAATAAATAATTATAAATAATAAATGAATTTGGCATTAGAGGGAAGCATTAGGTGCCATCTCATATTAAAATTAATAATTATAATATTTAATTAAATAATTTAGATTACACTGGAAGAAAAGAATTGGCCTGAAGCAAGACTCAAACCTGCAACTTTTGCTTACTGCGAATGGGTTACCGTTACGCTACCCAGACCTTTGGTTTTCCAGTACAGTAGACCCCCCTATAATGCTTAGATACGTTCCACGTTAATCGAATTTTACGTTGTAGGAATCATTAAATACATGAGCCAATTGCAGCCCGATAGGTATGAAGTTTACGAACTAAGGCTGTTTGAAAGGTTTTCTTCTATAAAATTAACCGATTCTAGACTAATTCCACTCAATATTTCCAAAACACGTATAATTTTTTGGGAATAATCTGTATAAACTACGCTATAAACAAAAAATTGTAGGATTACTTACCAAGTGTGCACCGTTTGACGTCGCCATTGCTCAAGCTTGTTTTCGTCGCGGTACAGCGCACAAAACGCCGGCCGCGATTTCTGATAACAAATTTTTCGCAGAAAAATAACTTGACCTTTGGAGACATTAATAGAAATAATTTTTATGGCCATTGAATAAGAAATGTTTCTTTCACAAGAAATGAATAAAATTAGTGCTGTATTAGACTTACGGTACCTAATTTACATACTGTACAGACGATAGTAAACTCAACTTACTCGCCTAAACTCTCCGTAGCGTGGCGCTGGACGGCGGAAAGTATATATATATATATAATTATAATAAAGTTACAATAAATTAAGTTAATATATAATTAATATATAATTATATGTACAGTACCTAATTTATATATAATACTGTACAGACGATAGCAAACTCAATTTAGTTGCTCCGTAGTGTGGCGCAGGGCGGAGGAAAGTAGTTCGGCTGCTCATCCACTATTGGTCCAGATTCTATCAATCTTGTCGTGACACGAGTTGGCAACGACGTTTTAGAAGTTCCTTTATACGAATATTGCTACAATTTTTTCGCTACGTTATAGGAATTTCCGTTATAGGAACCCACGTTATAGGGGGGTCGACTGTATATTTAATTTTTTTTTTTTTTTGTTGAATTTTTCCGTCCGATGGCTGGATTATTATTACAATATATCAAAGACCTTTACTTTTTAATTGGATGTTTGTGTTTTTAAAGGACTTTTTTTACCTTTTGGCGGCATGTAGCCTAAAAAGGAAGGCCTGTCGCCATTATTGTGTATGTCTTAAATGCAAAATAAATGGTGCTCCTTATTGGACAGACTTGTCTTTGATATATTGTATATTTAATGTTAAGCTCTAGCCATCGTATACTGGAAGAGGAGATTGGAGAAGGTCCAATCTCCTCTTCCAAAGGTTTGGATAGCGTAACTGGTAACATATTCACAGAGTGAGTGAAAGTTGCTTGTTCGAGTCTTACTTTGGGCCAATTCTTTTCTTTTAGTTTAATCTAAATTATTTAATTAAATATTATAATTATTAATTTTAATACAAGATGGCACCTAATGTCTCCCCTAGTGCCAAATTCATTTATTATTTATAATTATTTATTCCAAATTATAGCCTGATGATTTACAGCAATGGTTGCATTGCATTGGGTTAATAGAGTTGTTTATCCTTCAATTTCACTAGTAATTTCATTGTGGATAATAAATTAGCTTGTATATATTTGCTAGTATATTAAAAACTATTTAGTAGAAATATTGCATCAATGAGCATTTAAAAATTAAAAAATTACTTTTAGATATAAATATATGGATAAGAATTATTTTTTATGTGAAATCTTTGAAATTCAACAATTTTTGATACCCAACAATTTACGATTGAATGATTTCGGCATCACTCCTCCCATACAATCTGATCGGTTCTTGTTAAGTAAAATAATTCTTATTAAAGTAACTTTGATATTTAAATATTATAAAAGGTCAAAATCTCATTAAAGAGAGTACATTATTATCATCATCATCATATACATACTGTACTTTATCACTATATATAATTGTGTTTTTAAAGTTCTTAAGTTTAGCTCTACACTCTATTTTAAGCTAATTTTAGAGGCGAACAAATGGTTGAACTAAATTGATATTTCACAGTATATGAAATCTATACGTCTACATGCAATAGGCCTGCATTTTTAATAGTAAACGTTTAATTCTTTGGAAAAAATGAAAATGAGATGCTTTGCTCATGTGTGCACGAAACGTTAGTGTAATATATGTGGATTCATCTACAAGAAACTAATGTATGTACAGTACTATATTGTCTTATGACAAACGAACAATTATTTATTGTGTCGGGCTGCAATTTTTAATCATATTTTTATTTATTTTAAAATATATTCTTTTCACTTCAAATTAATAGTGTCTTGCACCTGTACATCATACTTTTCTTGTTAGTAATAGTGTCGTGTCGGTCATCTATCTATCTCTTTTGGAGGAAAATTTTTTGAATTGAAATAATGTGACTTCTGGCTTGCATTGGAACTTCATAAATAGTTAATTTGTGCTTCTTGCTCTTAATTCTTCCATACCTTGTCTTGGAATTCGTTTATCTAACTTCGTTCTCAAGATTAAGGAAAGACAGACAGGCAGACAGACAACAGAGGGTATGTAGAGGTATATATTTTTTAAAATTGCATTCCAATAAATCATTTTAGGTTAGAAATTTACGTATGTATTTTATTTAAACATAATATTTTAACAATTTACACACAATTCTCTAATACAGTTGACCCCCCTATAACACTTAATTTTTCTGTTTTATATGAATTCCATGTTGTATGAGTCACTTAGATTTTACAAATACATGAGCCATTCACAGCCCGACACACGTATTTGTAAAATCTAAGTGACTCGTACAACATGGAATTTATATAAAACGGAAAAATTAGCAGTGTTATAGGGGGTTGACTGTAATTTACTTATTGAAGTTTAATCGTTTTAATATAATTTTAATAGTTTACTCTGACTTTTGGTCCTTTAGAATTTTTGTTCTGTCTTTCCTAAAAGTTGATTCTTGTTCTGTGGCTCCCATGAAATGTTTCGTGACTCCCTTGAGAAACACTGGTATATACAATATTTAATTTAATTATATAAATATTATTATACACTGTATATAAGGTATATATTTAAGGGAAAGCCGTGTAAATGGTACCGCTTAATGTAAAAGCACAACATATGCGATATTCAGAAGATAATTCCAGAAACCATTCATCTCTCCCAACTCTCTCCTGTCTATTGTGAACGTTAACAAGTGTAGTAAACAGTTTTAGATAGTAAGAATGAAGCTATTAAAGCTTATTTGAGTTTATTAAAGCTTATTTTTGTTTTGTGTGTCGCTTCCAATGTTGTACTGCATTGTTTCTCATTAGTGTTGAAAAAGCATGTTAATCTAAAATTCAAAATTAAAATTTACTTGAATTTAACAAGAATGATTATGCTTAAAAATTACAATTAATAATAACAATAATAAAACAAAGTCATTATTAGTCCTTTTTACTATTTTTGTAATTATTGTTAAAAGCACATTATTCAAAAATATCAAAATAAAAAATATTTTCAAAAGTAAACAATATAAAAAACTCACAATTCACCACACTTATATATCAAACACGTACACTGAACCAATATAATGTGTGGTACGATCGACGAAACAAAAAACAAACGTTTTCAAACCTCTTCTAGGTTCTTCCTCAGGTTCCTTTAGCTTTTTAGCTCGTAAATTCGATATTTCAAATAACTTCGTTCTTGCGATCGAACAGTTCTTTTTTAAAAGATGTGTCGCACATGCCGTTCAAACTAACGACTGCCGTCAACGAAAGACATTAACGAATGTTGTTTAAATAATTTCTTTCTTAAGATCGAACATTTCTTTTAAATTATCCGTCACGCATGCGTGACATGTCCGCTTGCTCGGAAATAACGAGCAGTTAAAGCGTGTTATGTATCAACTCTTGCCAGGCCATCGACAAGATCATCTCCTCTTTAAAATTTATGCACGTGGTTTCGATAGAGGATTTAAAGATGTGCATCGCCTCTAACCACTTGAGATGTTCATTGGGAGGCGCACCGAGGAGGAGATTGGTCCTATTAAAGTCAGCAACTATGCCCGGGTCTGTTGCGTATGTAGCGAGGGCCGTGCTGGTTCTCCCGTGACGAATGTCTGCCTTATGCTCCTGTATTCTGACACCTATGGATCTTTTAGTAGAGCCTATATATATTAAGTCCCTGTCGAATCTGTTATCTCTCAAAGGGACACTATAGACCCCCGGTCTTCTGCTGGGGTTAGGAGGGTCCTTCCCATTCCTTAGGATGTTAAAAATAGTAGGGCACCTCCTGTAAGCAATACTGATTTGGCGCTTCTTGGCGATCTTGTCATATATAGATCTTACATATGGGTT